CCAGAGCTTCCAAAATGGCTGGGGGAAGCCAAAAACGCATTTTCGGTGCCCGAAAATGCGTTTTTGGCTGTCTAACTAGGTCTGTTGGCTCTTCAAATTTGGTCGTGTTTACTCTTGACGGTGTGTGCAGAACCCCAAATTGGACGGGTTGGGGTTTCGGGTTTAGGTCATCGTAAACCTTAAAGTGTTTCCCAGAGCTTCCAAAATGGCTGGGGAAAGCCAAAAACGCATTTTCGGTGCCCGAAAATGCGTTTTTGGCTGTCTAACTAGGTCTGTTGGCTCTTCAACCGTGGTCGTGTTTACTCTTGACGGTGTGTGTGTGTGTAGAACCCCAAATTGGACGGGTTAGGGTTTCGGGTTTAGGTCATCGTAAACCTTAGAGTGTTTCCCAGAGCTTCCAAAATGGCTGGGGAAGCCAAAAACGCATTTTCGGTGCCAGAAAATGCGTTTTTGGCTGTCTAACTAGGTCTGTTGGCTCTTCAACGGTGGTCGTGTTTACTCTTGACGGTGTGTGTAGAACCCCAAATTGGACGGGTTAGGGTTTCGGGTTTAGGTCATCGTAAACTTTAAAGTGTTTCCCAGAGCTTCCAAAATGGCTGGGGGAAGCCAAAGCCGCATTTTCGGTGCCCGAAAATGCGTTTTTGGCTGTCTAAGTAGGTCTGTCGCCTCTTTTAATTTTGTCGTGTTTGCTATTGACGGTCTGTAGAACCCCAAAATGGAGGGGTTATTTTTTCCCTCTCGCATGGCTGGATGGCTATGTCCGCTCGCGAGGTCTGGCATTTGGTGGACAGGTGCCATGCAGAAAACTGTCTCCAGAGGACAAATTTAACAATCCTTCAAGGAAAGCAGCTTTTTAGTAAGTTGCTTCAGCCAAATGTGTTTGGCCTCTCTGTACAGGCTCAGCATTAGGGTTTAGGTCATTGTAAACCTTAAAGTGAAGCTACACACTGCGCTGTTGGGTTGCATCTTCCAGGGCGGGGAGAGGACATCTTAAACGACTGTTGAAGCCTGATTCTGTTTCCCAGAGCTTCGAAAATGGCTAGGGAAAGCAAAAACAGCATTTTGGAGGCCCGAAAATGCGTTTTTGGCTGTCTAAGTAGGTCAACCGGCTCTAATTTATTTTACGGTGTAAGGAACCCAAATTGAACGGTTTAGGGTTTCGGGTTTAGGTCATCCTAAACATTAAAGTAAACCTAAACCCGAAACCCGAAAGGGGCATCTTCCAGGATAGACCGAACATCTTAGAAGACTTGTGAAGCCAATTCCGATCACAACAAGCTTCGAAAAAGGCTAAGTCAAGCCAAAAAAGCATGTTAGCGTTTCGGGTTTGGGGTGTTTCAAGGTTGGATTCAGACTTTAATAAAATAGTTAAACCCGAAACCCTAACCTACCAACCCTAGGCCCTGATTCCTGCGACGGCGGCGGTTTCAAGCCACACGATTCATCGAGTTACCATGCATCACCACAATCAAGCGGAGCCTGGGGCCCCGACTGCGGAGCTGCTTAGCTCCAACACACGGCTTGGGCCGCACACATTACTATTTCAGGGGGTCGCACAGCTGAAACAAACAAGCACCACTCAGACAAAACGAGCTACCTTGCGGGGGGGGGAGGGGGGGGGTTTATTAATCCCAAGTCCCCATTACTACTACTACTGCCACTACTGCTCCCGCGGCTGCTGCTGCTACTACTATTACTCCACGACGACGACGACGACTACTACTACCAGCGCTACCACTACCTCTACAGCGACTACGAGTACCGCGCCAACCCCAATACCGGGCCTCCGTCTGGGGCTGAGCTAAAGCTGCCTGACCGGTCCTGGGAGGATTTGTTCTTGCTTCGTTCTGTTTAGGGAATTGTGAGAAGTTTGTGTGGCTGTTTAAGGTTTCAGGTATTCTTCAAGGGTGTTGGGGCTCTGGCTTTTTCTGCTGAAAGGCTCCGGAGGCTTCGAGTTTAAGAGCCCGGCATCCAAGCACCGGACAGTCCTTGTCAGTGGTTGCAAACTCTGCCAGACCCTAGCTGGGCTACCGCGCCTATAACCTTGTAGAACAATAAAGCCCTCATAAAACGCCTCTAATCCGCATAGCAGCCCTTTGAAAAGTCCGGGGAGTTGCAGACCTGGCAATTGTGGAGCCCACCTCAAAACTATACGGGGCTACATCTTCTGATGTTCTTCGCTTGTGGGTCTTAGGATCTCTGGGTAACCCTAAGCAGCAAGCCCAAGTGGCAGCAGCAGAAGACTCGCAGCGGCGACGGCCCAGGCCCAGTGGGGCGTCCAATGCCGACGCCGCCTTTTTCCTTCCCGGCTGGGCGCGGCCATGACATTCGGCGTCCCTGCATCCGACTAACCTGCACCTCTGAGTTTGGGCTGTGGTGTTTTGGGATTTTTCAGGGTCTGGGGTTTAGAGAGCAGGGCTTGGGGTCTCGGGTTTAATTGGGGTCAACAGAAAGAAGGGGCCAGGGACAAACAGTCATGAAGCTTTCGGATAGTGTTTATGCCAACTGGGTTCATGAACTCAATGCTCTAGCCGAAACTTACCACCGCATGCCAACAGTACGACATGTCTGATCCTAACGTACTTGTGTAGCTGTACAGCCGCATCTGTGGTCATCTAGGCTTTGCAGCCCCAGCTAACTTCCCCAATACGCAGTCTCAGGGTGGTACTACATTATATGAACTCCAAGAAATTCAAGGGTGGGCCTTGGACAACAAAAAGATTCGTTACAGGTCTATCTTCCTTATCAAACCGACACTGAGTGTTTAGGCCGCATGATCCATGCGAGTTCTGAGCAGGCCTACTAAATCTCTGCTTGCGATCCAAACACTGCTGCAAAGGACGCCTGGGTTTGAGGCTTCAATGTTGAGGGTCTTCGGGCTTGAATGGTTTCTATGAATCACCTAAAGTCAGGGGTACTGTCTCAAGCGTCCCCATTATCGGTTCCCACTACTTAGGGGCCCCTTTTGCCCAGGCTTCGCACAGAGACTCCAATATCGCTTAATTACGGAATATACCTTAACTACTGCTAGGATTCCCACCATGATTTAAGGTATATTCCTGAAAGGGATGTTGGAGCCTCTGGGTACCAACTCGGAAATCCCGAGCCGGAACTCTCGATTTCTTCTTGGGGGTGTGGGCCCTCGGTTTGGATGGCGTTTTTGGAATTTTCCTGTCAGGTCTCGGGGTGCTTAGAGTTAGGTAAAGGGCTTTCAGCCGCAGGGCTGGCAAGATACTCTGTCCGGCAGGCTGACTTTAGCGTGTTCCGCTGTGGCTGTCGTGCGATTGTGGTCGGTTTGTGTCATGTGAAGAAGGTTATCTGCATGTACATTTCTTCTCCTCTACTCTTATGGGTTCCTGTCTCTGTCACTCTCTGGTGGTTTCTGCTTCTGCTGTACCAGCTTCTTCATCCCTCCTCCCGTGTCTTTTGTCCTACTTTGTTCCAGAAAACTCCAGGAAATGCGTCAAAATTGCATCGATCCTGGCATATCTTCTCTTTGGATGAGCATCCGAACAGCAGAAGGGGACGCAAGCCTTCCCTGCTGAGCCAGGCGCTCTGCCTCCGGGCGTGCCGCAACCGCACCTGCACATGCTTATGCATCACATTGGAAGCAGAAGGTGGCGTGACAAGACAAGGCAACAGCAGCTAGTGACAAAGGTCTAAAAGTTCTTTCAAAATCAAAATCCCTGCACCCTGGACTCCCAGACCTTAAACCCCTAAACCCAAGGCTGCTAAACTCCTACCAGAAAAGAGGCGAACAGTACTAAAACAGCACGTCGCCTTGCCTCGAGCTGATCCGAGCCGGACCGTCGCATGCGGCGTTGGAGGCTCTTCGGCCATGGCAAACCAGGGAGCCCACTACTACAGGGACCTTAACAGTTAGAATATACTACTGTTAGAATAAGGAACCCTCCCAAAAACCCTGTTCTGATTAGTAAGGCCCCTACAGTACGCAAGGGACATACTTCAGACTATGAGGGGTTGAATATTCTGACACCTTGATTTGGGGATACATTCAGACCACTAAATTAGGAGATGTACCTCAAACTTGAACAAGAAGGGATCGAACTTTATGATTGAAAGTGCATATTCCTTCATCTCTCGGTTTTAGGGTTGTTGGATCCACAGGGTTTAGGGGGTATAAGAGCTAAGGTTCCACGAGGTGTACGGTTGTAGGGCTAGTTGCTGTCCCGGGTTGTTCCGAGGTTTGCTGTTGAAGCTTTGGAGTGAGGCTCCGGCGCAATGCTACAAAGCTTATGGAGTCCAAAATCTTTCAATCCTCGGAGACCAAATTGAGACCGGGTCCGGGTTGAACTCGACCAAGCTACCAAGACTCGAACGCAATCGACAACACTGCAAGCATCATCATACCGAGACTCTAAGCCCAAAAAAACTTACATCCCAAATACTCAAATCCTGCACGTCAGCCCCTTCAGACCTTAAGCACCGAACCCTGACATCCCCCACCCCCATCCCTCCGTTCCTCACACATTCAACATCGAAAAACCGCCAACTCTAAACCATTCGAAGCCCCAAGCTCTCAGAACCCTTAAGCTCTCAGACCCCTTGAATCTGATATTAACCCCAACCCTATGAACCGCAAGCCTTATCCTCCCCAACAAGCCTGCAGCGCTACATCCTGGACCCTAGCCCTAAACCCGAATCCCTCCTCAACCCTTAGCCGAACATCATAAACAGTAAACCCCGACACCCAAGCGCTGAAACCTAAACCCCCTACCTGCAGCCCAAGGAAGACGTCTGATGCTCCCTGGCAGAACCCAATGTAAACCCTCGGCCCCCAAAACTCTGTAAAGCCCAGTCCTGAAACTGAAGCCTGACACCCCAGACTCCGAAAAACCATTTACCCTAAACCCTCAGCCCGGGCCGCAGATTCTACACGCGAACCTTGTAAACACTCCTGATCCCTTTCTGTTCCTCGCTGGGCAGCTCTTTCATCAGTGCTCGTTGGCTGCTGCTTGGCTTGAAAACTCTGTAAACCCTCAGCGGCTCCTCGACAGCCTTTCCAGCAGACCGTCCAGATTCACGAAAGCCGGGCCATCAGCGCCGCTGTAACCTGCTGTTTCCATGACCTTCACTTCACAGCATGCTTCAGGGTATTGCAAACGGGTACTCCAAGGGTTAATTACACGCCCTGCACCGGGCTTCGTGGTTGGAAAGGTAAAAGGGTCTTGGCCCCGTATAGATATATGTATGTATGTATGTATGTGAGTGAAACATATATATGTATATATATATATATATATATGGGTCAAAGCGATAGATACGTAGCCCATTCTAAAGATTGAAGGACTGCATGGTAAAGCCTAGAGCGGTTCATAGACAGTCTCTTTCTTGGCATTCGTGGCTCCTGCGTCTCGAAGATGTGGCGCAATGGTCTTTATGTCTTGGGATGCAGGGTTTATGGCTTGGGGTTTCTCAAGGGAACCCCAAGACCTCTTAAGTAAGGAGTATACTTGGCCTTAAGCCTTAAATCACTATGTTGAGTTCTCAGGTATATTCCCGAATTAGCTGGTCTGGGGCTCTCTCTGTTCCCAGTGCTCCGCCTCGTCGAAGTGCTCCAGGATGTTGAGATAAGCCTCCTTCTCGGCCTTAGTCACCTCGAGGGAAGCCCTAAAGGGAGTTTACGAAAAAGGGTACCCTAAGATAGGACCCTCAATCGTAGGATCCTTAGTAACTTAGTGTAAGGACCCCAAAATAAGGTATCCCTAATTTTCGAAACTCCCATTTAGGGTTGAGAGTTTGGGGCCTTAGGGTTTGGGTCCCAAACACCTGGCACCCCAGAGCCGACTCTAAACCCTGTACCTCACACCGTCAGCGATTTTCACTAGTCACAAAACCATTGCCCTTTCCGGATCCAGAGAGCCCAGCACTTTCAATTCAGGCATACACTTCACATCATAGTTTCAAGCCCTTGATCATTGCAGGTATGCTCCTACTATTGGGCCCCTGGTATTTGACGGTTTATGCGTGAACTTGGGCTCTCGGTGTACACCCCGCCAAACACCTGCCGTTAACCCAACATGAGGAAGCAAAAAGACGAAGGCCCTGTGCTCTTACCGCAGCCGCAAATAACCTACAGTAGCGTGTGATCTGCGACAGCCAGAGGCTCGGCCTTGGCAGCAGCCAACTTCGTCGCAGACGCCACGAAGAAGCGTGTCTGAAAATGCGGGCTCATGACACTGAACTGCGCGTTCCCCACTTCGCCTTAGTAGGATTCAAATTTCCACAACACAGGCGGTTGTAGAAGGGCCTAGGATGTTGGGGATTAGGGCTTAGGCTCCAGGGTGCGCAGCTCAGGGCGTGGATTTTAGGGTCGCCAGTTCAAGCCTTAAGGTGTGGGTGTGTTTCAGGCTCCACCAACCCGAAACCTTAAAGGACTCTAGTAGGTATCGAGTTTATGTATGCAATTTTAAGGTGTATTACATTATCTATTCCGTAATGGTATACTATAGAATAGACCATGCTATTTCTATGGTGTCTTACTTTAGATAATCCGTAATGGTATACCAAACCCCAGAGCTGTTTCATCTCTTACTTCGCCTCCCTTCCCGCCACCGTTGCGCAGCCAGGTCTGGCAGTAGGATTGGACTTTCAGCCCGTAGTCCTCGGGTACTGTGGGGCCATAGGAGCCTTAAGAATTAGACTCGGGTTTTGGGGCCCCTTGTACGATAATTTGAATAAGGAACACCCAAAACGGTCTAGGTAAGGTACTATAATATAGGGGCCGTAATGACTAGAATAGGGTTCCTCTATACGGGCTACTATAAGGGCAATTATCAGGGTTTAGTCTGGGATCTATCATATGGACACTATTTCTAGAGGGGCCTTAATAATCAGGTTAGGGTGTGGGGGCCCCTTATACTATAGGGTTTAGGGTAGAGGTTCAGGGTTCAGGACTTTAGGTCTAGGGTTGAGGCTTCTACGAGGGGTTTGTGTTTGAAGGCTCTACCTTTTTTAATGACGTACATCTCCAGAACTCAGAACTCAGACCAAGGAGCTTTAGACTGTAGGCTTGAAGGGAGCATTCGGCTGTCGCGATAAGGTTTGGCAGACGGGTTCAGTATTTCGGACTTACGTTTGGAATGTTTGTCTTTACAAGCTTGGGTTTTGTATACAAGGCGTAAAGTGTGTTTGCCTAAGGCCGGGCTAAGACATTGCAAGATTGAAAGCAAGACTTGAGCTAGGATGCCCAGTAACCGAGGAATAAAAAGGGCTCCCTTCTTGGTATTGGGTAACTTCATAAGGAACCTAGGACTACAAAAAGGGAATATGGGTGCGACTGGGCATCCTATTGAGAGGCTTAGAGTTTAGGGTTTCGACTTTTGGGTTGAAGGTTAGGGATGACGGCTGAGCATTTAGGGAGTCTATCTTTCAGCTTTGCCGGGTCGGCATTCGGCATCAGGACTCACGAACTCTTTTTGGGCTCTGGGTTCGGGGTCCGGCGTGTTTAAGGACAAGGATGAAGGTTTAATTGTAACCAGTTTGGGGATTCTTGCTTTGAGGGCTAGGAAGTTTTGGATCTATAGGGACTGACTCTTTAGCAAAAGTCCTCGTGCAATACCGCATCACTTGGAATTCCTCGAGCACTTACATCATAACCCATCCCAACACCTCGTTCGAATTACCAAGGCCCATTGTATCACTGTAGCCATCTCATACCCCGCAGAAAGGAACCCGGCTCCAATCTTTAGGTAGCTGAAACAGCCCAAGGTCTTCGATGGACCCACTGTCCCCGAGCGCAGATGCGATCTTCGTAAACATGCTGACCGTCTTGGCATAGTCATCTTGCAGCTCCTAAGGAAGGCAGAGTTTTAGGGGGCTTAGCTTAGCTGCAGGAACTGCAAAGAGTATCACAGGGCTTTGGGCTGTATCATACTAGAATTGTATCGAGGATCCCTGCGAAAGAGCATTTAGGGCTATATGAAGCCAGGGTTCAGGGTTATGCGGTGTAGAGTTGCGCTCTAGGTGGAGGCTTAGAGTTTCCGAGTTCAGGGTTTAGGGCTTCGGGTTTGGGAAACTTCAGGCTAAACAAAGTTGTTCTACCCATGGTACAGAGGCCTTGCTAATTCAACCAGGGTTGGTGAGTAAATGAAAGTAAAGCTAGATGGGGACTGCACGGCAAGACGGAATACCATTACAAACTCTTCCCCCCCCCCATGCTCGAGCTCCTGAGCCAGCAGCTCCTCTTTGGCAGGATCGAGCTTGAAGGCGTTCTTGCCCCCAGAAGTGAACTCCTGGAGCTGAAACACACAGGAACTAACCCCAGACGACCCGCCCTTTTTTCGTAGACGCCCATCGGGCATCATGCGGTTGTGGTGGTGGTGGAAACATTTTAGCATCAAAACCGAAAGGTGCCCTGAGGAATACCAGTGGTAATTATCCAGGCTTTTAGATTAGACGCCAAGCCCTACTACATCTTCAGCTGTTAACCGGCCCGACAGCATGAGCCATGAGCTCCACACGATAAAACCCTGAACCCTTGCGGTCGATACTCACTCCGGAACCTCCGGAACCAAGCAAATTCCCAGCCTTCAGCCCCAAACCCCACACTCTAGATCCCTTGCAGAACTTGTGTATAGGAGATGGAGCTCTGAGAGAACCCTTGTGGCTGATGGGAGCCCTTAGAGAGCCCCAAGCTCTCCTGGAGCTTCGCCACGTACATCTTGAAGAGCGAGACCTCGTTCGCCGTGCGCAGGGAAAGGAAATCAACGAGGAGCGCCTGCGTCTTCTCCTGACGTCGGAGAGGCCGAAGCTACCCCTTCGGTCAAGGGATATCTGCAGCCTTATATAGGCTTCGTACTTTTCAATCAGGGTTCTTAACAGGATAAATGCATTCATTGAGAAGGAGTCATTCAGTAAGGATTGTTGGGGCCACAGGTCTCTCTGGGGACCGAGGAGGGATGTTGTGTTGGGGGTCGCGACGTTTTAGGGTTCGGCCCAGTCCACCTCTGACAGATCTTGCTTTCCCTGGAAGCTGAAGCCAATTTGCATCAAAGCAAAGAGGCTTACCATCGTCAGAAAAGACAAAAGAAGTACACATGGAGGCAGGGTATCGTTTACAGGTCATCAAGCACGGGTGTAGGGTTGTCGACCGGGGCATACGGATAGGTTTGATCAAGAACGACCGGGGCACACAGGACCCTGCCCAAATCCTCCATTAACCCAACCTCGTTGGCTGGCTGTGAAACGCAGCGCAGGCCCCTGTCCCTGTGAAATCGTCACCATGGAAGCTCCAGCTCTGAGTTCAAGAGCCCCAGAAAGAACACAGGAACCATGTGCCATCAACAACACCATGGTACATGCTACAAGTCTTCTAGAAACGGAGCCCTCTTCAACCAGCCTCGCTCTCATAGAACAGGTTGATCCTTGGCCTCCAATGCGTGGAGAGGCTTCGACGGCTTGAGGGCAGAGGTCTTGTTGCGGGCAGGACTTTTCAATGTTCAAGGCAAAAAAACTTGAGGGACCGGAAGGACTTGAAACGTGTGCCTTCCATGCTTACGGAGAGGTGTCACGAGTGGGTTTTTTCGAACTCGAATCTTTGAGAGTTTGAACGTAGTACATGTTGGACGGGATTCGAGAGTTTGAAAGTTTGAAAAGTTTGGAGAATGAAGAGTTTGAAGTTTGAAAGTTTGAGAGTTTCGAGTTCGAAAGCTGGCGCGAGTTTGGAGCTTGAAAATTTGAAACCCCGGAAATTTGAAAGTTTGAAGCTTCGAAGATTGAAAGTTCGAAAGTTTGAAAAGGAGAAGGACCGCTGGAGACGCGTAGGGGTTCACAGAGCAGCCCTCAGGCTCGAGTTCGAAAGTTTGAGAGCTTGGAGTTTGAAAGTTTGAAACCCAGGAAGTTTGAAAGTTCGAAAGCTTCGAAGACTGAAATTTCGAAAATTTCAATCTTTGGGGGGTTGAAGGTTTGACGTTTTCAAATTTCGAGAGTTTGAAAGTTTGAGAGCCGTGGAGTTCGAAAGTTTGAGATGTTCAAAGTTTGAGAGTTTGGGAGTTTGAAGGTTTGTAAGTTTGAAGAGTTTGAAGTTTGAATACATTGAAAGTTTGAGTTTGAAACCATGTTGACGTCCTCATCTTAGGGTCTGGGCCCGGTAACTCCGAGTCCGATTCAATAGCCCGGGACCCCCCCGGGCGAACGGGTAGTCCTGGATTTAGGAAGAGGATGAGGGGGGGGGGTGGGCCTGCAGTCCTGGATTTAGGAAGACTATGAAGGGGGGCGGTTGTTGTTCTGGATTTAGGAAGACCATGGGGGGGCGGGGGGGGGGGCGGCTTGGAGTCTTCGGCGAACCCCACCGCTCTGTTTAGACTGCAAACGCCCCGCTCTGCTAAGCCGCGAAAAAAATTAATGAAAGCGTCTCCCACTTCATACTTCACCAAAAACCAGGATTACGACCCCCCCCCCCAACCTCATATTTCGTCCAAAACCAAGACTTCGAGCCTCCCCCTTCCCCTTACAGTCTTCCTACAACCAAGATGTTAAGCCCCCCTTTCTCCAACATACGCAAAGGAGAAAGCAACACGAGAACGCTTCAGGGGGTTAAACGCGAAGAATTAAAATTCATCATGAGTGATTCAGAAGCTGTGCAAATGGGGGTGCTCTCTTAAGATCCCCCTCCCCTGATACGTCGTCCAAATCTAAGACGTCGAGGCGTCCCCTTACAGTCTCCCTGAATCAATGACTTTAAGCCCCACCTTTCTCCAGCACACACAAAGGAGAAAGCAACGCAAAAATGCTTCAGGGGGCTAAACGCGAAGAACAAAACTTAAGCATGAATGATTTGGAAGCTCTGCAAGGGGGCTGCGCCCCCCCAACCCCCTTCTTGTTTTGGACTGCAAACTCCCTGCTCTGTTAAGCCGCAAAAAAATAAAAAAGTAACCCCCTTCATACATCACCAAAAACCAGATTACGAGCCCCGCCCCCTCATACTTGGTTCAAATCCAAGACTCGAGCCCCCCCAGTCTCCAACACACACAAGGGAGAAAGCACACGAAAACGCTTCAGGTGGATTAGAAGCGAAGAAGATATCATGAATCATGAGTGATTTTGAACCTCTGCAGATGAGGGGGGGGGGCTGCGCCCCCCAACCCCCCCTCGCTTATTTTAGACTGCAGGCGTACTTCACCCAAAACCCCCCTTCTTTCATGAATGATATGGAAGCTCTGCAAATGGGGGGGGGGGCTGCGCCCCCCCCCAACCCCCCGCTGTTTTTAGACTGCAAACTCCCCGCTCTCTTAAGCCATGTTTTCTCCAACACACACAAACGAAAAAACAAAAAAAAAACAGACGAAAACGCTTCAGGTGGGTTAAAAACGAAGAAAAGAGCATTATGATCATGAGTGATTTGGAAGGTGATTTGGAGGACTAGGTACTTCACCCAACCCCAGTGATTTGGAGGACTACATACTTCACCCAACCCCCTCTCTCATACTTCGCCCAGATCCAACACTACAAAGCCCCCCCTATCATATTTCACCCATGAGCCCCTCGCCACCCCCCGACTAGTACCACTAGTCGCCGGGAAAAGTCTTCTCCGAGACACACAAAGGAGAAAGCCACACGAAAACGCATCAGGGGGGTTAAAAGCGAAAATAATATTCATGTTGGGTGGTTCGGAAGCTTTGCAAATGGAGGGGGAGGGGGGCAAACTCCCCTTTTTTTTAAGCCGCGAAGAAATGAACCAAAACGTCCTTTGGGCGTGCTTGAGATATACCGTGAACTAGAATCGCCAAAAGAGAAGGCGTGTGTAAGATGTAAAATTAACAGAAAGCGCCAAATGAGTAAGCGTAATACGACAAATACGATGACCCGGAAAGGCTAAATGAGGGGTGTGGTTAAGATCGCCAACTCAAGCGGTGCGATTCAGTTACACGGTGTGCTGGAATCGCCCAATGGGAGCGTAATAAAGATATGTGGTGAGGGGCTATGATGACCGGAATCGCAAAATGAGGGCGCAGTGAACCGGAATCGCCAACAGAGAAGGCGTGTTTGTTCCAGATACTTAATTGGGGTTGCGAACGCCACCCATATACGTGACCGCATGTCGAGCGCTTCAAACTCTGAAACTTTTCAAACTCGAACTTTCAATCTGTCAAACTCTCGAACTTTCAAGCTCGAAACTCGGCGGACTTTCAAACTTTCCATCTCGACGCACTTCAAACCTTCAAACTTTGCAAACTTTCAATCTTTCGAACTCTCAAACTCGCGAACGTTCATCCCTTTCAAACTTTCGATCTCTGAAACTTTCAAACCTTCGAACTTGAAACCTTTCGAAGTTTGAAACCTTCGAACTTTCAAACTCGTCACCTCAGCCCAAGCCGAAGAGGAAATCTGAAGCCAATCTGAAGCCAACCTTTCAAACTCCGAACTTTCGAACTTTCATTCTTTCGAACTTTCGAGCTTTCAAACTTTCGAACTTTCGAACTTTCAAAGTTTGAAACCGTCGAACCTTCGAATTTGCAAACTTTCAAAGTCTCGAACTCTCAAACTTCGAAGGCCGATCGAACTCGCCCGCGGGAAAAGTTTAAAGTTTGAGTTTCAAGCAGCCAGTCGAGCTCGAAAGTTCGAGAGTTTGAAAGTTTGAAAGTTTGAAAGTTTCGAGTTTGAAAAGTTCGAAGTTTTACGCCGGCTAGCTTGTGCACACCAAGGTGCACAAACTTTCGAACTCCTGCACTTTTCGAACCTTCAAACCTTCAAAGTTTGAAACTTTCAAGCTTCAACCTCCAAACCTTCAAACTTTCAAACCTTCGAGTTCGAACGACCTCGCTCGGGACACCATTCATGCTTACGGGGTTTAGGCTTAGGGCTAACTCAGTTTCCCGGCCCATTTTTTGAGGTCTTGGGATTTTCAAATTCAGCTTAGATTAGAGCAGAAACTCCGAGAGCAGCCAGCAATCAGTGAGTTTCGGTTTAGTTCCAGGTTTAGGGTTTAGGGCATCTTGTTGCACAGCGGCCGATAGTCCATGCTTAGATGGCGTCTTAGTCAGTAGCAAGTCCGAAGTAGAGAACTGGGGTTTATTAAGATTCTTGGTCGGGGTTGTCAGCAACCCCAGTCTCTGTGACTACAAAACCTTCGAAGTCCGCCCTACGCGCCCTAAGCCCCAAGCCCTACCGTAACCCCTCGGAGCGCGCTTCTCCATCGTACCGTAGATTCCGGAGGTGCAGTTCGTCAGCACAGCGTTTGGGCCGTTGGAGGAAGAACCCAAAGGCCTCGGTGAAAGGTTCTATAAGGGGCTTCATCAGGGGTTTCATAATCGTGGGCTTAGGATTCGAGAAAAATTGGTAGGGACTACAACCAGGAACTATTGCGGCCCCTAAAGTCCTAGAGTAGCAGCGGTGGTTTCAAGGCCTGTGGCTTTGCAGTTTCAGTGCTTAGCACGCCCAGCTGCAGGGTTCTGTCGGATTAGGGTTGGGCGTGTTGGTGACTCCAAGATGAGTTGCGGGCTTAGGGTGTTCTAGGTAGTAGGGCGTGGGCTACTTGAGCTCCGTAATCGTGCGTGCCCGACTCTATCGGCTTGCTTCCCCTGGCCGGATGACCAGCGGCTGGCTTGAGTATCTGGGGCCGCCACACTTGCAGGGGCTACTTTCTTGCGTGCTACAATATCTGCTATAGGGTCGTCCGAACAGGGTTGCCTTGAGCCCTACATCCCAAAGTCTAAACCCTAAGTATGGCCCGAAGCATCGTCCCTATAACTCAAGGCACCACAGCCCCGACCCAAGGGTCGATGCAAGCCCTAAGGCCCTGAGCCCTAAAAAAGGGATCCTTGTACCAAGGGTTCTACAGGGTTTGGGGCTACAGGTTTATGCATCAAGATGCATTTTGGTGTCGTTGAGGAACGTTAGCATACCAGGATCTCCGATGTACCCGCCTCGATGAGAAACAGGGCTTGGCGCTTGAATGCAATTTTAGGGTCTGGGTTTACCAAAGAGCCCAATGCCGCTTAATCCGCCGACGGTTCGGTGCTAGATTTAGCCTCTTCCCATCATCCTTTCAACTCCCCTTCCCGGGCATTGTGTGGTGGTGAACAACATGGATGAAAGCTATGCTTGATGTCTTCCTCAGCCCGTGGGGGGCTCCGTCCGCTTGGTCGTTGCTGTTGCTGTCGTGGCTGATGTTGCCGTTGCGCTGCTGCTGTTGCTGCTTTTGCTGCTGCTGTTGTTGTGGTCGTGGTGGCTGTGGCTGCGGTGGTTCGTGTGGGCTTCTAAGGGTTACTCATCCTCATCCTGGGTATTCTGGTTTGTGCTGCGTGCTGGTACCTGATACTACACATCCCTGTCGGGGGCCGGCCGAGGCGGCTAGTTGTGGTTTTAAGTTTAGTGGATATTTGTCTACGGTTACTATGATCCTACGATAATTTAAGGTATGTTCCTCCATTAAGGTACGGTTAAGGTTACTATGATCCTACTACAACTTAAGGTATGTTCATCCATTAAGGGGTAATGGCATTGGGCTCTCTGGGCTTAAGGTTCCGGACTGCGGGCTGGTAAGCGTAAGGCCACTGCAGCTCCACAAGGCACCTTGAAGCAGAATCCTCAGGCCCAGCATTATATGGGAGTTTCCGAAAACTAGGGGTACCTTATTTGGGGCCCTTATAATAAGGATCCGACTATTTAGGGGACTATATTAGGGTCCCCCCATTTTCGGAAACTCCCATATTCGCCCAAGACGCAAACCCCAAAACCTGAATCGTAATCCCGGTATCTCCCACCCAAAATTCGAAACCCTGGACCCTACATCTGAAGTTTCGAGCTGTCGAACTACCTTCGTCTCGCGGTCCTTTGAAGCTGGGATGCCAGGGCTTCGGGTCCAGGGGAACGTTCAGGCTTTAGCGTTTATCGTGTACCTGTAGCCATTTTCAAGACATCTACAAGCAGCCATAATATGGAACCCTTTGTCACTTAGGGTTTTGCCCCGATACAGGCACGTACGGTTTAGGGTTCAGGGCATCTTTTGGAGAGCGCATAGGTACGTACCAAGACCTGAACCCAGACCCTGACCGGACGCAAAGCCCCGTACTCCTCATCCTTTCAATGGACCCAAGGCCCGGAACCCTTACTGGTTTTAGGGTTTCGGCGCACTTCTGGATTTACTTTCGGATTTAGTGTTCTTATGAGCTTCTTTACTGTTCTTTACTTAAGCCTCACGGTTCAGGGTTTGAGGCTTGCACGCTGACGAGACGCCCTATTCCTGCCTGCGCCAATTCCCCCTCGGCTTGAGCCCCGGCCCAACTTGGCCAAAATTGTGTCGTCCTCTCACCAGGAGGGCCCTTTTTTGAGTGGGGGGGAGGGATTGAGAGCTTTTGATTGTGGGGGTGAAGGGCTGTAGCAGTGCTTAGGGTGCCTGATTTGATGAGTTTGCAGCCTGAGAAGGTTCTGGAGGGGTTTAGGGTTTCGAATGATTTAGCAGGGGAGGATTTCGGCGCTCACACTCGGACAATCCAGGCGTGGCAAAGGGTTCGAGGTCTGCTTATGGTGAAACCCTAGAAAATACACCTCTAGTGACTCTAATGGAGGATCTAGGGCTTGAGGCTCTCGCCGGTTGTCGGGGTTAGGGTGACAAAGGGTTCGGACGGTTCAAGGGCGTAGGGTTTTCGACAGGGCTTGTGTGTAAGGTTTCTATGTATCCCCCCCAAAATCAGTTCTCATTTTTGGGGTGCTTGATTTCCGAACTATTCCTTTACAAAGGTTAGTTTGCTTGTTTGGGAGACGGGTGTAGGGTCGGTGTTTGGAGGGATTGAGCAGTCAAGGGCCCCAGTCTGCGGACCAAAGAACTTTATTCTTCGGGCTGAAGGTTTAGGGTTGTCGGTGAGGGGTTTTGCGGTCATAGGCTTCGGGCTTGGCGAATGAACTGGAATTACAAACTTTCTCCATGTGACTTCTTCTGCAACAACGAGCAGCTGACTGTTACAAAACAAGGTGCAGCCCAGCACCTCGGCGTGTAACTCCTTTGAACCTTTGAGTCATGGAATAAGCCCCTCAGGGTATCGTAACCGCCGGTTTTACCAGCGATATTTTGCCTGAGAGCCGAATGGAATTGAGCCCTTGACAAAGGCACGAAACTACTCTACTACAGGGGCCTTATTCATTACGATAGGGTTTTGGGGCCCATTATACCATGCGAGTAACTATAATAATGAGCCAACCTGGAAACTGCTGGGTTTGGGTGTTTACTGTTTGGGGTGCAGGGCGAAAGCTTTCAGCAAAGAGTGTAAGGCTTAGGGTGTAATGTTAGAGGCTTAGGATCGCTGGCGTGGCGCTTGCGGCGTCTATCGTGAAGCGCTGTGCAGGTTCGGGGAACGCCAACAGCTCTGAACCCTCAGGGTTTAGTAGCTCAAAGGATCGACAGTTCAACCCCCAACCCTTGAACCGGAACCCCTGAAGCCAGCACCAGACCACCGAGTGGAGAGAACAAACACTAAATCCCAATCCCGATTACCTTTGAAACCTGCAACCCTCAAGCTCAGAACCCGAATCCCTCTAAACTTCCCTAAACCCCCCCGGGAAGCTTTTGAAGGCACGACAGGGCTGTCCGGATTCAGAGACTCGGGGCACAAGGCTTTGATCTTGTAGAGCTTTGAGAGCAACAGCCCCGGATGGCCTTCCTCAGGTGGAGGTCCAACCCTCGAACTTTTGTGCCCGAAGACTTTAATCCTAAACCACCCTCAACACTCCCCCCTGCAACACATCACCTCTCTCGCTCGTTCTCTCTCTCTCTCTCGAACACGCTCGCGACCCCACATCACCTACTACTACTACTACTACTACTACTACTACTACTACTACTGCTACTACTACGATTATTACTACTACATCTAGAAACCCAGGACCCTCTGCAGGCGGAGTGGCTTTGCGCTCCGTTTCAGCTGCAATGCTCTGTTCCAGGAGCTCTTCGATCTCCGTCCTCCGAAGAGTTTGGGAGTTCCCCGGAAAATTATAGGGGGTACCTTATTTTGGGGGGTCCTTGAAATAAGGATCCTACCATTTAGGGTACGATATTAGGGTCCCCTATTTTCGGAAACTCTCGTTTGGTTTAGGGCTTAGTTTAGGGCTTAGAGTTTAGTCCTCCGAAGAGATGGGGGACGACGAGTTCGGAGCTGTTCGATCGGATTAAGCCAAAGAAGCGAATCGCTCCCAGCAAACGCAACCGAAACCGGAAGCCCATAATCTTATTTTTGTTAAAAGATCCCAGCCCGTAATTTTAATCTAACACCCAATCAAAGGCCTCGACAAGTGAAGGTAAACACCTTGGAGAAGGGCACGGGGTTGATGCGTTAGGATGCAGGGAGTGAGGGTGTGGGGGAGTTCGGGATTGGGTCATGGCTGACTCTATACTTATCAGATACATCAACTACAGTGGTCCTCAAGGTTCTATCTCGCGAGTTCCGGTTCAGGATTGCCTCTCCGGCCGGTCCTGGTTGGCACAAAACTCACGCGCTTGATGTTGTCGAGCTCCGCCTGTACCACGCGGAAATGTTGGATACCTTTAACACCTGGGCTGTGCATATGAAATAGGCCCATCTAACATTGGATCGTAAACCCCAAAACGCCGTTAACCTTCAATCCTCCCTAAAGGTTTCCATCAGCTCCTATGCCGCAGCTGCCAAAACCTCAGAAGAAGCCCTTTTTTTCCTATTGGGCTTGGGGCTAGCCAGATCCTTGCATCGCGGCCTTTCTTCTTCTGAAGCTTGAACCCGAAGCCCCGACCCAGAGCCTCAGCATGGGAAACATAAACATCTCTCAGAGACTACAAGATACGAGTACCACAAACAAACGCCGCCGGGGTGTAGCACATGGCTATTCAACGGGCGTAGAGCACCCTGGGTAAACCCTTAACCCTCAACCCCAAAAGCCTGAATCTTTGACGCGAAACCCTCCCAGTGCAAAGTTTAATCAGTGATGTCTACTTGCGGCTTTATGAGGTTTACAACCTCGCAACTCCTGCAAGCCAGATGAGGTGTCACGGTTCGCAGTCGGTTACAGCAGATGAATCAAGGCCACCTGCTGTAAAGAAACCAACAAGAGTGTGTATGCAAATGTGAGCAAAGTCACTCCCCTTAACCCTAAACTGCCTGCAGAAATTGCTGGCGCTGAACCCTCGGCAAACACTCCCAGCTCTGCTTGTGCAAGAAAGGGATCCCACAGAGGCTCCGAATCACAACATTAGCCGGTACGTCGACGCAAACCTGTTGCTCAGTGCGGCTCACGAACCTGTGTCACTAGCTGCAGCTAGTTCAAACGCAGCCCCCAAGGTCTTTTGTTGGGCTTGCATCTTCATCACCTGACCAGCAGACTACTGATCAACACCAGATCGAAATGATCGTGGGGTGTTGCTGGGAGCCAAAAAGTTATCCACATCGTCATCAGTCCCTGGCAAGACTTTTGGACCCGCTGGTTGCATACATGTGGTCTCCACCCATGTTGAGGTCAATGTTCTTAGCTTGCAGCAGTTCGCGGCGCGCGCCCCTTCTGCGTCCACTTTGCACTTTGCTTGACAATTGCTTTCGAAGCGACGGTGTCTTGGCAGTCACAGCCAGATGTTGCTTCGTAGCATGAGTGCCAGACATGGTGGCCCATCTTGCTGCGAGCAGAGGCTTGTCAACATCAACAGGGCTCCATGCACACACGACTGGCTGGTGGACTCACATGCGTGTCGTGTGTGTGTGTGTGTGTCTGTGTGTGCCAGCTTATACTTATATCAAGCCATGGCTTACGGCGGTGGCGTGGGATAGTGGTTTCACAGTACGACCTCGTCATCATTCAACACCAAGTCAGCCATCAGCGTTCAAGAAAGCTCTCAAACTTCAACTCGCGCAGGCACTGTCCAGAAGGTACGCGACTCATGCACCAACTTCTTTCTTAGCACTTCTTTCTGGAAGGTGCCACATGTGCATGGAACAAGCGAAAGGAACCACATGCAGGGACACATGCGTTAAGTGCATGCGGAAGTCGATCAGTGCTTTCATTACGGGACAGTGCTTTCATTACAGTAGGACAAGGACGGGCAGTGCAAAGGAGACAAGGTAAACAGACAGTGCAGGACAAGGCCAACTAAGCGACAGCATAAGGGTAGGGGGCCCAGCGGCAAAGACCCTCGGGCATAGGAGACCGAGTGTGCAGGCAGGACGACGGGGACAGTAACTGACAGGAAGCTAAAAAGATCAAGCAAGGGTAGGGTAGTTGCACCCAACACTGTGTGTTACACGCACAAACACACGTTGATAGGGATTCGGGTTAAGGCCCTTGAAGCTGAGGCCTAAAAAACCCTCAGGACGCAAACCCTCGGTCCTGTACCGAGGCTGCAAATACTGAATGCCAGCTTAAGCCCCTCCAACACTCAACAACACCAACCAGAACAGAACAACAAACCACGAGACCTGCGACCCTCGTACTTGGGCCTTCTCGAGCTGTTTGTTCGAGAATTTGGGCTTGCTGGGCTCGCTCTCTGCCTGGCGTTTCTGCTACTATGCCCGCCTTTGTAGGTCCCGAGTATACGCGCATAAGGATATGCCCCAACTAAACAACCCTTTTCTAGTTACTGAAGCCCTTGTATTCAACCACTACAATACCTATCATGCCGCAACGTGCGGCCGAACTGGAAATCTGAATCCCTGGATTAAACGTCATCTCTGCACCCGAAACCCTCGGCCTCAACTAAAACCGCCAACTGCCAACCCTATACTACAGCATAGTATAACCGAGTAATGATGCAATGGTATCAGTGGTACATAATCTAGTGCTATAGGGGCTTAAGCTGCCTAAACAATTACCAATTCTGGTTTGGGGGTTCCTGATTATACTTGTAGTATACTGGAGCCCCAAAACCCTTTTCTAATTGTTAAGGCTTGTGTGCTATAGTACCCTTCTAGATCCCTTACTAAACCCTCATAATAGCCCTTATAGTAGCCCGTATAGACCGTATAGAGGAAGGAACCCTATTATTCGAATTATTAAGGCCCCTATATTGGAGTACCCTTATAGATCCCTTCTAGTAAGCCTGAAAAACACCTTTTAAGGGAACCCTATGAGATCCATTAATTATTAAGCCCCCCCCCCCCCCCCCCAAATAAAACATACACCTCGGGAGGTCCGGGGCCTCGGTAGCCTTGTTGGCTTTCACGGCATCCACGAGCTTCCCCCATTGGGGTGCTGCGGTGTCATCGGGCCAGGCCTCTCCCTTTCGGGTTGACAAGACTTCGGACTTTAACTATAACTAGTATCTTTAGAAGCTTTTCGCAGGGTCTAAAAGCCTTTGGCTGTAGGATTTCGGTTGGGGGGTCGGGCATGTAAGGTTTTCCAGGTGTTACGAGGGTCGGGCTTTGGGGTTAGGAGTAGGGCGGGGCAATCAGGGCCTAACGCGGGGAGCTCCTTGTGCTTTTAATCATAAACTCAAGAACTACAGAGTCTTCCAAACTATGGCTAAGGCTTGACGCGCGTGTAGAGGTTAGAGGGCATGGGGCTGAATGGTTCGGGGCTCATTTTCTCCTGCCGTTTTTCCTTACAGGCTTCGGGCCCCAACACTAAAACAAAATCCAAAGTGGTGGAATGGCCAAGAGCTTACGTCCACGAGCCGAAGGTGCCAGGATCAATCCCTCGAATCGAAGGGTCGCGGTGGAATGGGGTCGGAGGTCGGGTGTCGGTCGTGTCTGGTCGGCAAACGCATGCCTAGGAGTTCGGACCGCGAACCCCTCAAATTTTACAGTAGGATTCAGAGTTGCGAGCATTGGGCTTGGACTCTCAGACCTAAACATCGAACACTCGAAACTCTGAATCCTAAGCAGGGTTGTTTAGCTAGAGGGATCCGTTGAGAATGCCGTGAGTCAGGACTCGTCCTGCTTTGCCGAATGTTCCGTGAGGCTGGGGCTCCTCAGCAAATGCCAAATCTACGTGCTCGAAGCCAGGCTAGAAACTTCTGATGCGTGAGCGCTCTCCGCCATACGCCCTTTCGTGAAGTCTACGCCTCCGGGGCCCCGCATGGTATAACTTCGAATCCTTTCGCCTGATGCAAACTCCCAAACCTCTTGCCTGACCTTGAGCCTTCTACGCCAAAACCAACATGACGGACAACTTTGACCCTAACAACCCCATCAACACGGTACCCCAACCTTAAGACCCAGGACCCTGTCCTGCCTGACGTCGATCGGGACGGAAAGCGCTGCTACTCCCCACGAGAAAAAGCAAAACCATCGCCGGCGCCAACTGGTTCGCCATGACGAATGAGACTGGCGGAACAGGTTTCAGGCGTGTAGGTGTTTCGAGGGTGTGGGGCTTGAACAGTCAGGATAGAGGTTCAGGGCTTGGCGCTCAAAATGTAGGTGTAGCGTTCTTGCCGCCGCTTTCGGGGCAGTCATCCCGGCCAGGCTACACCAAACCCGTGCACCTGTAAGCCCAGAAGTTTCATACTCAAACCTGAAAAACGTATGAACACATCTTGTGTTTTTTTCGGCAAAGACGAGCCAAGCTTACGATAACGATGCCCTCGTCACATGGGGCCACATCGGTGGACGGACAAGACTCGTTGGGCAGCTCAGTTACAAGCATTCGAATCACGCACGTCACCCCCCATGATGCCAGAGAAAATCGGGCAACCCTTCAAGGAAGCCTGTACGGATCTCAACTTGCGCCTTCGTAAACCGCTGAAGGCCGCTTGACGAAGCCGATAGCAATCACATCTCTAGGAACCCAACAAACACCGGTAATCCCAATGTCAGTCCACGACCCCGTCAAAGCTAAACCTCCAGTAAGGGCCCTCATCCCTTACACCTATCGCAGAACTCAACTCTTGGTCCTGAGCAGCCTCGCAACATGCGTAGTCCTTCAACTGAAAAACATTTGGATCGAGAAACTTAGGATTTGGGGTTTTGAGGTCAGGGTTTAAGCTTAGTTTCGGGTTTAGGGCTCCAGGCCCGAAACATCGAACTGAACGTGGCCGTGGCCTGTTCTTCAAGCAACGGCTGCTAAACTGCGATGCACAGGGCCAAATGTCTTGAACCGGCCCGAGGAGAAAGGTTGCAAGCCAAGTCGTCATGGGGCTTAAGGCCCTAGTCTCCACACCTTTGGAGTTCGAGCTTTACTGAGGGTCTGAAACCAGCGCTGTGGAAGCGCAAGAGCCACGACATGGAGAGTGGGGGTGTCAGAGGTTCTTGCTTGTCCAGTATCCTCCGGAACTGAAGGATGATGTTTGGGACTATATTGGGATTAGCATGCCCCAAATAAAACTTAGCCGCCGTTAGAACCAGAATACTAATAGTATTCTTATTAACCCCCTCAAGGTATATCGTAAGTTAAAAGTAAAACATAGCTCCCAAGAGCAGTCAAGAAGAAGGTCAACGGTTACCTTCTTTACTTCTAAGATTTTGCTGACTATGAGCCGTAACCTTGGATATGCCAGAAAGGCTTCTTGGATTTAGGGTCATGGGGGCTCAAGATTTAGAGCTCGAGTATGGGCTGCCAGGGTGCAAGATCTGCGGCAGGGAGACTGGGGATTCATGTAATAAACCACCCCTCAATATAAGAACTATGTTCGGAATCCCGATGGTGCGTAATGTCTTCAAGCAGAGTGGGTATGTCAACTGGGGGTGTGCATGAAGATATTGCTTGCGAGCCCAACCTTCAGCCCTCTATTCCTGGGATGTTTTGAATCTTACTTTGCATGTTCCACGGCTCCAAGATGGGATTGGAGCGTAGCAGGGTGCATGGTATAGAGTTTAGGCTTGAGGTGAGGGTTTCGGCGCTCACACTCGGACAATCCAGGCGAGGCATTTCCATACATTGCAATACAACATGTGACATTCCATTACATGACTTTACATACCAGTATCTCCACTCGTGCACTTGTTTACACAGACATGAACATGAGGGCAACGTCTTTCATGTACACGACAACGACGCGGCAACACCGGAAATCTTTCAACATGCGCAGCGCAGCCAGCTCCAGTCCACACTCATTGCGTCCAACATCTATAGTGCACAGGATAGGCAGTCAGTTTCAGGTAAATAATACTCTACACCCAAACTCGAGAACGTTCACCCCGACACCCGAAACTACTCACTAGCGCTCGCGAGGCCCTTGCGCTTGGATGGCCAACCTCGGGGATGCGGGATGTGAGGATCTGAATGCAAGAGTTCCGAGTTTGGGGGGTTCATGTTTATGGGGCTTTACAGTGTTTATAGGGTTGTCTGAGGGTTGAGGGAGGCTTCCGGTCTGATTGAGAGTTCAGAGCCTCAAGTCAAAGCGGAGGAGGCGCTCACTTTGTTGGGCCTTTTGTGTCCAGGGGTCAGGGCGTGGGGTTTTGTGTCAGTGTCAATTCGATTGGCTTCGTCTGTAATTATCATATGGATGGCAAGGCCAGTTGTCTCATGGATGGCAATAATCACAACCGCATGTATGACGACAATATGCGCAGCCAGAAACATGCAAGCATTCGTACTGATTGGCGGCGCCCGGAGATGTTCACGGCTGGCACCAGTAACGATGTAATTTGTCTTCTCGTCTTCACACTCGCTTTCGCCATCATGATCATCATCGTCACTGCTGCAACACGATGCCAACCAATCACCATGCCAATGAGTTCCCTCTGCCAGCGCCGACATCATTATCATCAGTCATAGTGCCTTCACAACTACAATTTCATGCTGTTCACCACCGCAGCGAGCTATGCCTGTGCTCGCTCTCTTGCTCGCGCTCTTGGCCTCAAACACTCGGACGGAAATGTGGCCTACTGTTGTTGTAGGTCTGAGGTTTCGGAATGGCGGTTCTTGTTTCATGCATAGCTGTGCCCCCAATGATGCGCATTACAGTTGCGAGTACACACTTATACGGCATATGACGGATACATTTACCTTTGTGCTGGCATCGACATGGCCACTACATTGCGCAGCATTGCATGCGCTGCATCGCTTTGCATGACAGTGCCGCGCTACATTGCACTACTACCTGACATTGACTTGCATTACCTCACAATACCTTGTACGACCTTTCTTACTTAGATTACCTTACCTTTCATGATGTGACATGGCATTTCGTTGCTTTACGTGTTACTACTTCTTGTTCTACGGTATGGCACTGCGGCTTCTAAATTACTTACATGATCCTCAGGTCAATAGATGCGGTATATAGCTTGGAACCGTCTGTTCACATGTTGGAGTGGTGCGCTGGGTTTCCGCTCGTGCTTAGTGGCTTAGTGCTTGCACTGCTAGCAAGCCTGAACTATTGGTGTTGCTACTCGGACTGTGGTTCTACTTTCTGACAGCCTCTGGCATCTCCAAAAAAAGTGCATATATCCCAAAGCAGATATGATTGCATTATGGGATCATGCAGGGACACAGTATGGAGTTGATCGACTGACTGTAGTCGAAATATCCGAGGTTCGGGACATAGCGAACATGAGGGACGTAGGGGCACCGCAAGAAGAGATTCCTACCGCGATTGAGTGCACAGAATCCGTGCGAAAGCCAGGCCTGTCGAGTTTTGCCGTAACTCTGTAGAGGGTGCTTACCTTATCAATGGCTACTGGCATCTGTGAAGACTTTTTCTCTGCTCAGCTTGGGTCAATACGCTCCCGTCGCTTGCGAAACAAGCTCGGGGCATCCTTGGTTGGACAGGCTTTGGTTTGCTACGCAGATCGCTCAGTTTCTCTCTGAGATCCAGAGTACATACCTTAAGCTATATGCAGCGCTTCTTGTGATGATGCAAAGTGCATTCGTCACACAAAGGGTACGCGCGGCATCGGGTTCTATGGGCAGCTGGTAGGAATATGATCTAGCACGAAGCCTTGAGGCTCGATGTAATGCTAGAGAAGCCAGGCTGCGAGGTTTGAGGTGTTCTTCGGGTTGACGCATGTCAGCCGGGCAAACGAAGACATGCTTTAAGTGGGGCCATAGACTGATAACTTTCGCTCCAACTCAGCCATCAATGCCGCATGTCGGAGACTTCTGTAACGTGAAACACCGATCTCACACTTAGATAACTGATAAAACCTGTTCAGCACTGTTCGAGGTTTAGGTGAAGCTGTCGCCGAATGTGACATCAAGGTCTCTGTCACCACTGGGGAAGATTCTGCAGTCCCACTCTCGAAAAGCGAGACATAAGCTACAAGAGTAATCGCACATGTTGCTTCCCGCAGTAGCAGCAGTCGTAGTAGAGGTAGAAGCAGCCGCCACGCCGGTGACCCTAGTTCGCGGTCGCAGCAGTAGTAGTCGTAGTAGTAGTAGTAGTACTACTACTACTACTACTACTTTTCCAAGCCACTTGCTGTCGTTGCAACTGCTTGGTGTCCTCGGATATGCTCGGTGCATCTAGATCGGAAGCCCGACAGTTTTCAAGTTGATTTTGTGGTTTTGGGTTCCATAGCATGGGACACCTCCTTACTGCGCCGAGCACAAGTACACCGGCAAGGAACGCTACAGCAGAACTCTGGCTCAAGGATCTTAAGATTTCGGGTTGAGGCAGAAGGTTTCAGGGCGAATGAAGGCTTAGGGTAGTTGCAAACGTTATCTCGATCTCAAGACTGTGCGAATACAACCGGCAAGCACCGCGCCCTTCGGCAATCTGTTTGGGAGCTGATGCTTAGCATTGGGACAAGGCGTTGCAAGGTAGGTCGGTTGACGTTGTTGCGCCGAAGCTTTCCACTCGAAAGCTCAAGCAGTGAAGCCCTCAACCCGATGACTGAGTTTTCAGGTAGCATTGCGACTCCCTTCGAGCCGTTCCCAACGCCTATCCATCTTCACCTTCGGCCTCTTGTGCATCGAGTAGGTACTGCTGGAGTCGAGGGAAGGAGTATGTATCACAGGCTGTTTTGATTTCTCTTGCGGCCACAGCAGCAGGTAGGACTCCAGGCATAGTGTTTGCAAGCTGGTTGTTTTCGTAAGCTTCCAGTCTAGTTTTATCATGAATTCAGAATAACCGGGTGAGGACAACTAAGCCTCCGACCCGAAACCTTACACTGCGTGCCAGGTGTCCGTGCCTGTTGCTTCGGCATTGCGGTTCCTGAGGTGCATCAATCGATCTCCAGAAATGTTTCTAGTGCCGTCCAGGCCCAGTAATTATTTCTGAGAAGTATGCCATAATGTAATTAGGCCAGTGGGAAATATCTACTCGTGAGAGCAGGTTGCTGTCGGACCTGGGTTTTGGCAAACCCATTGTTTGACATCTGCTGCATTACTATTTGCTGCGAGCCTTATGAGAAACACAGACATCTCCACACCATGTT